TTGGAATTGATGAGAAAGAGGAGTTGGTTTCACTAAATTCCAGTTTGAGTTTTTATAGTGCCAACTCAGGCAGGCAGTCAAACCAACTTACAGAACTCTACAAAGACGTTTTTGGTTGGGTCCAGAGCAACAGACTCAAAGTTTTTCCCCACCAGGACTTTGACTGGTCCTTTATCCCAATCCTCTGGGATCTCCTCAGACCGATAGTAGGGCTGCACCACAAGACAAGACAAGTTATTGGCTTTAATGCTGTTGTGTGACTGAATATGAAAGGTGTGTGTGTGTTACCTTGGCAGTGCCATCCACAACTTCCTGGCACAGCTTGCTCAGTGAATTTGCTGTGAGATCCCCGGCAGTGATGGTGAACTTCTTTCCCGTCTCCATGTTGATGATGCGTGCAGTGGGAGCATCATTCGCGGACACGGCAAAGTATTTCAGCACATGAGAGAGGGCTTCTGTCACATCGATCACAATGAACAGCATCTACATAATACACACACAAGACATAAATTAGGTTTTATGTCTTTCTGTCTCTGTCTCTCTCTCAAAAACACACTACCCTACACACACATACGCACACACACACATCAGACTGTTACCTTGCCCTTGAACTTTTTGGCAACAGCCCTGGATTCGTCCACCAGGGCTGTCTGACTCTCCACAGAGGAGTTGATGAACAGCAGGCTGTGCAGGAGGATGCTAGAGGTGAATATCTTATCTGCAGTCTAAGAACAGACACACACTTTTAATATAATTTTACATTTCACATGAATGTTCGAATTATGTGTGTGTGTGTGTGTGTGTGTGGGTTTTACCTGCTGGCTGAATGGGATGATCAGCTCCAGGCTATTTTCCTTGATGAAGGTGGTCAGGTTATTTTTGTCCAGCTTCCCTTCTTCTGACAATGCAAAGTCTGCTCTGCCATCATCAAACTAGCAAACACACACACACATTTGTGTACTGATGGTCGGACAAAACAAGCAAACTTTGGCCCCGGGAAATTTTATTTGATTCAGTCATAAACAAGATACACATTAAGCAAAACAGTAACAAACAAAAATCCAACACGTGCTGGATACACAAAGAAATAAAGTTAATTAAAACAAACTATACTTAGCATGTAACCATGGACGGATTATGAGACAATGGGCCCCTGGCACAAACATGTAAAAAGCCTCCCACCCCTCCTACATATGATCAAGACGACCATCTTGAAACAGACACAAACAACAGCTGCATTGTTTGTTGTTGTTTTGGGTTTCTTTGTAGTCAGTTTGCTTCTATTTGGGGTCGGTTTGTGTCCTTTTGTAGTTGTTTGATTGACTTTCCAACAAGAAATCTTAACAGTCACTTAAACAGAGGCTCTGACCCAGGGGCCCCCTGACCCCCCTTGGGCTGTTCAGTAATCCTGCATGTAACACAAACAAGTTGCATAAAACGGAAGCATGACACAGGATAAAACAGAAAATCTAATCTAACTTATTTCTAAAGGCGTTCTGGAAATTTAAATATTAACTGACAGATTAATACATTTTTAAAAAGTCATTACTGTAATTGCATGCCTAATCTTTTCCTTTATCTTCTGCTATATGGCAAGATGCTAAACAGAATTCAAGCCTTGTTTATTCCAAATCTAAAGTTTCTAAAGTTGGAAAACCCTTTTACAGAAGTCAGCCCACTATCCTCACATTTCTATCCTTGTGAGAACATCCAGTCCTCAAAAAGTATAGTCACTATCTCTAGGCGCTAGATGGCAGCAAAGCCAACATCATTACGGCTTCTTGCATGGAACTGCCTTTCTATAAAACACTTGATTCTGTGCCTTTCAGCGACTATCATAGCATTTTTTTACCTTTTTGAAGAGCACCACTGAGTTGGCTTTGACTTCATACTTGTGGAAAACCTCAGGACTCGCTGACACAGCAAACTCAGTGTCGGTCATATCCAAAGCAGCTTCTTTGAACAACTTGGCTGCTTCACTTTCCAGATCCTAATATAAATATAAATCAAAATATGAATATAACAAATAATATGGGAGCTTATGATTTATTAGTAGAAAGATAGCTAAAATAGATAAACGTACATCAAAGAATCCTACAACAGTGATGTTATGGGAATCGATGAACTGAGCTGCAGAGTCCGTCGAGTCGAGCACAGGGGTGCCAGGGCCTGTTCGGCGCTTCATCCACTGGATTATTCCCTCTACTGACCTCTTACCTGGAAAACACACACATCCACAAAACACGATGTCAAGTCATGTAAAAAAATTTTCAAGTAATTTAACACACCAAGATGTAAGATGAAAAGATTGTGGTTTTGCAGGGGGTTAGAGGGGCACATATGGTTGTGAGTCTGAAAACCTGGACAGGACACAAGTCTACAGTTACATTAAGTGTGTGTCCCTGTGTGTGCGTTTACCAGTGAAGTCAACAGGCTCCTTGCGGTCTCCGTTGACGAACAGTTTCAGAGTGGGGAAGCCATCGATGTCAAACTCCTCAGCCAGCTCCTTCTCCTCTGTGGCGTCCACTTTGGCCAAACGCATCGCTGGTTCCTCAGTCTTCAGCTTCCCAGCAGCCTCTGCATAAAGTGGCTCCAGTTGTTTACAGTGGCCACACCAGGGAGCATCTACACAAACACACAGTTACTTTCTTTATACAACACTGGACTGAGTTTAAATGTGTTTCCATGTAGAAGAAATACTGAAAATCAAGAGGCCGAAGCAGCAGCTACTCCACACAGGTGTCAGTTCTGTCCAGTATTGCGTTGCTATCAGCAGCACATGCACAGATACACATGGTAATAAGCCACTGATAGCAGCAGTGGCAGTTGGGCTCAACCTTTATCCCCTTTGCTCTTTTCCTTGTCATGACCCCTTATACTCACAGCGCTGAGCTAATCTGTGGGAGAGTTGAACCAAGAGAGCATCTGGACAGGAGAGGCCACGTGTATGCACATTTGTATGATAACGCCTCAGTGCTTATGAGGGCCAGAACAGAAAGCAGCGGTGGAAAGAATTTTACATTTATAGTACAAATTCTAAAGTCAAGGTCCACTAAGTTAGCTATTCCTAAAGCTTTGGTCCAAACCCACAGCCTCCTTTAGCTTTATTTTAATGTGTGTTTCCAAGGTCAAAGAGGAACCTCTGTGTTTGTTTTATTTTATTTTTTGTGTTACTCCATCACATCTGCATGTCTTCTTTAGGAAAGTACAGATCTGTGACACCTTTTAACACAAAACTTGTCAATTACAATCCATTTTGGTCCAACATATGTCACTGATGTTATCTGATGTTATATGAGCTGAAAAGCAACACAAACTTCAAATATATTGTCTCAAAAAAGTTCTTTGTAGAAGATTTTTATCACCTATTGGGCACAACAGAGTTCATTCATGATCTCACTGCTGTTTCCACTTCAGATGTAATTCAAAACTTAATACAACTACTTACAGAATTCAACAAGCAAATGCTGATTTTCGCTGAGAGCCCTGGCGAAGTTGTTGATGTGGAGAACCATCACATCTTTCTCCTCCTCTATCTCTGTTGTTTTCTCTTTCTTTGGTGCCTCTTTGGTTTCCTCCTCCACTTTTTCTGTCTCCCCCAGAGTTTCTTCTGTTGATGCCTCTTCTTGTGTTCCAGTCTGTTTGTCGGCGTTGCTGTCTGTGTCGTCGGCCTGGACGCAAGAGGCCCACAGCAGCAGGCCTAGCAGAGTTATGGACAGAAGCCTGCGTGTCGTCATGATGGCGTTTTCTGTCTGAGCTGCAGTGGTACCTTCGCTCAGGTATGGGCACCCACAATGTGTAACTGAAAGCATGTACTTTTATTTGTCTAAGATGGAGAGTGTGTGTCAAAATTTTACTGGCCTTGCTGCTCATCCAATCAGATGGTACGCCTACAGGGGACTCTTTCCAGTGTAAACCAATCAAATGGTGCCCTGTAGATTCACAGTTGTGAAAAACTGGTTGATCCACTGTTAAGGCTTCAAGACTCATCACACCTCTTTGTCTTTCTCTCCTTCTTTGTCATCTTTTACTTCATCATTTGTTATTGTGTTTTTAGCCATCACGCACCAGATGGTAGCATGTATATGTGTAAACGTCTTTAATCTTTCATTCCTCACACTGCAGCTGGGCCTTATCAGTCATTTACCTGAAAACAGTGACTGCATAGTAATTGGGAGGATTGTTAGCTCTTCCAATCTTTTAAATGGCTCATCCATATTACCGTTTAACAGAAACAGTAATATGGATGTTTGGAAAAAATCCAGTGTCAGGGGCTATTTGGAGATGTTTACGGTCAGTAACTTTGTCAGCAGATTCATGGTGCGTGTTGGCCCAGAGATGTTTTTTTTTTTTTAAACCCCTTTCAAAAGGTTAGTTAACCCAGATGAGTGCATGCAGATTGTTTTGGTTTTACTGAGTGTGCTGTGGTTTTGAGATATCTGCCCCACCCACCCCGGCTCCAAAGCAATGTCAAATGAATTTCATTTGTGCGGCCAAATACACTGAAAAAAATGTTGACAAAAAAATCTCATCACAAAGGTTCGTTCAATTGCATCACATGATATTCCTCAGGAGATGGAGTTTGTCTAGTTGTCATGGAATTGTAGATATTAAAATATACATTTTTCTGGGCATTTTAAGGACTTCTTTTCTGTGTTGGCTTAAATGTTGAGTTAATTCTTGACTTGGAAACTATTATCTGTTCTGGAGCCTTTTTAATGATAATAAAAAAAATTTAAAAGTCAAAACACGGACTGCATGACTCTGATCGAAGACCACTGTTGCAAGTCGTTACCCATCTCTCTCTCTCTCCCCCGTCCTTTCCTGTCATCTCTCTACTGTTTACTCTCTAATTAAGGCATACAATGCCCCCAAATACTTTAAATAGAATAAAGGGATAATCCATCCTCTTGTTGAAAATTCTGACCACACCAACGTTTACTGACCAGTGTGGTCAGAATTGTGCTCTGTTGTACCTGTAACCACACTCAACAGTGATGTCACGGTGTCCTGGAGTACACTTGCACATCAGGGCAGCAAGGTGAGAAGGTAAACCACTGGAGGTCAGCAGGATTTTCAGGGGAAATTACTCTCTAAACTTAAAACTAAAGACAATAAGGCAACTAGAGAACTCCTGAAATTTTGATATTGCATCACAAAAAAGGCTGAAATATTATATATATATTTTGAGTAACATTGTATCTTTTTATAAATCTGGATAATCCAGAGTATTTATTTGGATGTCTCTCTTTAGTTGACAGCATGGAAAAAAGTTCAGTGTGAGGTCTGTGTATTACCCAGAGTAACTGGAACACTGTCTCTGAAAAAGGCAAGTTCCTATTTAATCGTTTAAATGTAAGTTTTCAATTCTGTCAGCACCACTGACTAAATTACAGTTCCCTTTATTGTATTTGGGTTTCAAAACCTGGACACACAAAACAACATGGTCTGCATGACTACATACCACTATGCTTTTTGTAATTTGGGTGAAACAAACATCACATTAATGATAGGCTGCAGTTAAAAAACTGAGCACAACACATAGGCATTGATTGGTTTCTGTTTTTCCATTTTTATTAAACTTTTTAAGAATCTATCAAAGTTAAAAAAGGTATGAATAAAGAACAGTCCGCTGTCAGCCCCTGCAGGCTGTTTAATGCTGCATGTGTGTGTTCTCCGTTAGTGTGTGTGTGAGCTCTGGGTTTGGATCCCAGTTTGCCAGCAAGTCACTGAAGTCTGGCTGAGTGCCGTCGAGGGTGTGTGTGTTGTGGTGTGTCAGTGCATTGTAGTGCATGTGTGTGTTTGTGTCTGTGTGTGTGCTGTCCTGTGAAGGCGAGTCACTTTTTGTGTGTGTGACATCAGGTGTGTTACTGAAACTGACCAGAGAGCAGCAGGGGATTGGTTCAGTCCAGAAACTGAGCGGGAGATGCCGCTTGATCATCGGGCGGCTGCGGCCCTGACTTGGGCCCCTGTGGTTGAACAGTTCGGCCAGGGGCCCCAAACCGCTGTTACCCTTAGCAAATCCTACTCCTTTATCATCAGCACAAGTCCCAAAGCTGTTTTCTTGCTCCTCTGGACTTCCTGCTCTTGCAATTTTCAGCAGGTCGTCATAATAACGCAGCCGCCCGCCTGTTGTGACGGAGACTGGGTCGCTGTAGATGTCACAAGTGTCTTGATCACCAGAGCAGCGACCAAAATACCGCTGAATGTCACGGCTGATGAGATCTGCAAACCTCAGCAGCTGCTTGGTCACGTCCAAAGCATAGTGGGCGGGTTTTAAGAAAAGCTCTAAACATTCCTCCTCTTCCTCCTGAGCTTCAGATTCTTCATCATCCTCCTCCTCCTCTTCTTCTCTGTCTTCGTCATCTTCCCTCAGCTCCGGCTTTTCCTCCAGCATCTCCTCTACATCTTCCTTGCATGAAGAGTGCTGGAAAATAAGCGGAAAGTAGGCTGGAGTCGGGGTCTGCACGAGGAAGTTTCTGATGACGCCCGCCGCCATGTTGGCTTATTAAAGCTGGAGACAGTTACAGAAGAGAAGAAGTAAAGGATCAAATAGTAAAGCAGTTTGTTGACAGGATATAAATTTGAAATTGCTTGAAAAAGAAAACGTTTTATTACCTGAGCACAATTAGCTGCCAGGTTCAGCTGAATCTAACTTGAAGTCCGAGGAAAAGGTCTGGCCTAGGTCATTGATGGAGCCATTTTACTCTATGTGTGTGTGCATATGTAATACTGGACCATCAGGATTGTCACAATATATATACCTCAGCACACGGCTGCAGGCGTGTGTGTGTCTCCTGTCAGATGAGGCAGCTTCCAGAACAAATATTTGCGTGCCGGATTGGTCAAACACACTTTGTTTACTTAATCACTGGGCAACCAGGGAGGGGGTCCGAGGCTAATGGATCCTCTGCTAGGGGATGATGGAGAGTTGTTATACACACATGCACACACACACATCATTGCTTTTTCCATCCCTGTTATCAGGCTAGTTAAAGGATAAAAGAGCATGAAATCAAATCATATGCTGTTTTGACTTCTAAAGGGTAAGCCACATCAGCAGACTAAGATACAGTACAACCTAGTCAGACATGACGTGCTATAATGTTTTTTAATAGGGACACGACATGAAACTCACACGAGTCAACCAGGTCAACCTCCCAAACTGCCAATCCTTGTCTTCAGGAAGATGAGTCAGACACAACATCAGTTTTACCCGTGGCTATTGACTGACTTGCTGAACAGAAAAAAACCTCTTTAAAGGCTAGTGGAGGACAGATGCAGGGGTAGCAGCAACATAGTGCTGCTGATGAGCAGGTTAGCACTTTGTATTTTTTACTCCCAGTGAGCCTAGAATAGGTTAAAGGATAAGGCTTGAATTATTTTCTATTTCTGTCAATGTCAACAAATCTAATAAAAAGTTGTGGGACTCTTGAATTCTTCTTTCCCTCCCTAGTTTGCCCTTTAAAGGTATACAGGGACAAAAATAATTTCCTTAAAAACAAGAAACTTTAGGCATGTAACAGTAATTTTTCAGGAAAACTTCTGTAAAGGACTATGTTATTTGTTGAAGATAGTGTTCACAATTTATTTATAATGTGGCCTGTAGAGTTTTTTTGCCTGCTGCACAGCAGATCAGCTGAATATGTAAAAATATACACATTTGTTTGTCAAATTTCCTACAAAAGAAATTTACTAAGATGGAAATTTTATTTGTAAAATAGGTTTACCATATTCTCTATCTACAACTTACCACAAGACACACGTTTTTACAGCTACATACATTATTAATTATTATTTGCATTTCCTCAACATTTAACCAATAATATTTGAAATCTTTGGAAGTTCTGAGATCTTTATTGAAGTAAATAAGGTGCAGTGCATTTGAACTATGTCGAGCAGCACAATATATAAGTGCCATGTTGCTTTTGGTGGGTAACGTCATGCTGGTTTACTTTATTGTAGATAAAACAGAACAAAGTATAGTGATAAGTTTCACTTATTAAGTCCTGCACTTCACCAGATTTTACTGACCTTTACAGACATCTGTAACTCTGTAAATATGTGCATGTGCTTCTGTTTATATGTACATGTTGAGCATTAATATATGTTTGTGTGTGTGTGTGTGTGTGTGTGTGTGTGTGTTATCAGGACACCCTGACTCCCTTGGCCTGCCTGTCACCAGTATCCAGGCTTCTGTGTTGATTTTAGGACTAAAGATCAATAGCAGCAATATGTCGGCTCTCAAGAGCCTGACAATGAATTACACAGGCTTTTAGCCACACAAGCACATAGACACACACACACACACACACACACACACACACACACACACACACACACACACACACACAGATTTGTATTATATTTGAAATTCATCATAATCCTTTAAGAGTATATAGAAACATCATTCCTGCTACAATTTTTAGGGGTAGTTTGTTTCAGAAACCAACTTTGTGAAATTATACTTTTAGTGGGTAAAAGTTTTGTTTATAGGTTAAATATTAGCAGGTTGTTCAGCAGTTTGTGCAAACTTAGTATTTCATATAAATAATGGATCAGTTTCTCTTGATGATGAGTAATGCATACTTACAGAATAAAATCAGCTTACAAGAAAAATGTGACATGTTCAGCTGCTTTACATAGTAATATATTTTTATTTTATTTGTTCTATTAAACTCTTTTTTGTTAACTATTTAACAAATGTAAACTGTAATCAAGAAAGAAAACAGAAAACATATTGTGTTACAATACATACTTTCATACTACATTCATTAAAAACATGTATTCTTGTTTAGTAATTTTGAATTAAAAGAACACTTGCCTCAGTTGCAGTCTGTAAATGCCTGTGCAGCTGTAAAACACCCCAGTGAATCAAATAAATAGACTACATCCAGTATGTTGTGACTCACATGTCCTGCACTTTGTACACCAACCATGCACCCCAACCACCTCTCTAAGATGTGGTGTACATAAATGTAGCACTTTACACACACACACACACACACACACACACACACACACACACACACACACACACACACACACACACACACACACACACACACACACACACAATACATTGCCAAGGGACATAATCTAGACAGCATTTACATTTCCTTACAACACATGATTGTCTCACCAAATTAGCAGAACAGAAACAGAATTTTTTGGGACAGGGTTGCCCCAGTGCATGCTAGTTAGGCTCCAACTCTGAATGGGATTAAAGAATGAAGGGATGCATGGATACAACAAATATTATGAGGCACAATTTACGTATGAGCTGACCACTGATATTTTATTGAGACAATCCATTCTCAGGCTTTCACCACATTTATCCAACAGAAAATAACACGGAAAAGCTCTCAAAAGTTACACATTTAAAAAAAAAACTGCAAAAAAACCCCACTAAAACCTAAGTCCTAAGTCCACAGTGTCCATTAAACAGTGTCCATTCTCAGTCTCAGGTGTTTCAATAGCTGTTCTCAGGCTTTGCCAGAACCTGGGGATCTGGTTGTCATCATCAGGCCACTTCAGGTACGTCCTGGAGTTCATGACTTTCCTGAGTTTACAGAACCTTTTGGGGATGGTCGCTTTGTCAATGGGCTCCAACAGAATCAGCACCATTGAGTCGTCGTTTTGGTCAAACAATCTAAAATGGGTGTAATCCAGCTCGTATTTGCACCATTCACTCCTGACAAAATGCTCAGAAAGGACAAACAGAGTTTTGTGACTCTTCTCTATGGCGTCCACGATGTTGTCCAAGATCCAGTCTCCAGGAACAAAGTCTCTCTTGTGGAGGCAGAGCCGGAGAGGAGGCTCGGCCTGCTCGAGTTCCGGGACCAGATGTGCTTCCACCCATCCTGAGTCCATTTCACTGTATGACACAAAGGCGTCATACTTGAGTTCTCCCTTTTTTAACTTTGGCTTCCGCTTTGCTCTCAGCCAGGCCCAGGTCATCCTGATATACCACACAACACTAAATTTGTGACACACACCTGCGATGAGCAGAAACACTGCCAGGATGCCTAAGCAGAGTAAAGAAAAAGCTAAATCTGCGTGGCACTCAAACACTGACAACCTCACGTCTACCACACTCTCTCCTCTGTCGGCGTCAGGAGAGTCACAGATGTACGACTTGAATCCATCTCCAATTGTGACGCGATGATTCGCTGAATTACTTGTCATGAACGTTACAAAGTCACATGAACAGACATAAGTGTTAGCACCTGCCTCCAAACGCTTTAGATTTTTATATGAGTTTAGATTATCACTGCTGATTGTGTGTAAATCATTGTTTTGAATGGAGAGAAATGTGAGACCAGGGTATACAGGCCCATCTGGCAAACGACTGAGCTTGTTTCCAGAGATGTGTAACTCTCTGAGAAAAGGTAGTTCGATGTTGAACACTGCCAAGGCATTGTCTGACAGGTCGAGGATGTGTAAGCTCACCGGCAAACAAGCTGTCACTTTTGTTAAATGCGTCGATGAAAGGTTTAAGAACTGGAGACTTGGCGGCCAGAAACAAGTCTCCGGCATACTATGAAACACATTTCCACTCATGTCAATGTTTTCAAGCTTCTCTAGTTTGGTGAAGAGCTGGCTGTTGATTGACTGCAGGTAATTCCTGCTGATATTGAAGGTTTCCAAATTCAAAAAAACACCTTTGCCGTCGCACATCATTTGGCTAAGGGCCAGATCACTAAAAATGTTGTCACTAATGTCCAGATACTCCAGCTTTGTGAGACGGGCAGATAAGTCACAAGGAATGGCGAAAAGCTTGCAGTTTAGCACAGACATATGCACCACCTTCAGCAGACGGTACAGGAATAAGAGGGCTGGGAACATGTGGAACTCAGGCACATCAATGTTTTTGAGGACGACAGTCTCCAAACAGTCCAGGGTTTGGAGATATGGACGGTGAACCGAATAAAGAAATAAAAAATGTATTTCTTCAAGTGCAAACATAACTATATTGGAGTTTGACAGCAGTTCTAGAAATTCTAGACCAGCTGTAACTGTAATGTTAATCTTTTTTAAAATAACTTGTGTTGTTCCGCCTTTGAAGGCCACTTTAAATGGGATCATATGATTCTTTGTGAGGAACCATGTGTCGGTGAATGTCAAGGTTGTGTTTGGGTGTACAACATCAGATAGTATAGCTTCCACGAGTGCTGGATTTATCTGAAACGGACCATTCAGACCAAGTGTTACATGTTTAATTGGTCCAATTTGTCTCAAACTTCCTCCTGCATATAATTTCAGGTTCTGTCCATCAAAAATAACCTCTTCAAGACCACTGAGGCCAGAAAAGTCATTTTTTCTGACAGATTGAAAGTAAGGTCCTCCAAATTGTAAGGTTTTTAATCTCGTCAGTGGCTGGAAAAGATTGCCTTGATCCAACACGCTATATCTGTTCCCCAAAAGATTCAAGTGCCTAAGAGAAAAAAGGTTCTCAAACCATCCAGCAGACAACCTATCCAGTCTGTTAAAGGACAAGTCCAATTTCTCCAAATTACTCAGCGGGGAAAATGCTTGCTCCTGGATCGTTTTGATTCTGTTGTTACTCATGGTCAAAGACCATAACCTGGCATAGGCAACAAAGTCTTTTTTCGTTATTGTCCCCAGTCTGTTGAATGAGAGATCGAGTTCAGTGATGAGGTTTGACGGGGCTGCAGGGACTTTTGTGTGGTTTTGTCTCGAGCAGTTACAGGATGTTTGTTCACAGCTGTGACACTGTGGTCTGGACAATGACAAGCTTTGACGCGTAAGCAGGACAAACATGAGAAATGTCAGGATTGTCATCTTGAGTCCCTATAAAACACAACAGAAAACAAATCAACAGGCCTTTTATTGCAATATATGAATAAAAAACACAATTGTTGGCTGTGGCTATTAAGCTGCCGCACATCACATTTATCAAACTACTCATTCATCATTGGAGAGAAATATTACAAAATGCAAATTAACCTTGTGAATAAAACAAATGCTGTCTGACTTTCTTTCCAAAGGCATTTTTGGTAATTATACCACAGAGAAATATCATGATTATAAAGCACAGGTGTAACTAATAACTTTAATGATGCGGCTTTTTTATTGTAGTGTGTCGGAGAGCACAAACCGGGACCCCGAATGGAGTCATTAATTACATTATTCACACTTGCGCTTTTCCTACTGGGACAAGAAGACGTCTTCTCTGCAAAAGGCCATTTCATTTAAAAGGATGAACACCTGCGTCATAGTTGTCCAGTTATACTGCCAGATTACTACAAATTAATCCACACCTGCAGGCCAATCAGAACGGGGACTTCTCTGTGGCCATGGTATCAAATCTATTGATAAATTGATTAATTTAAAAGAAATTATATATAATTTAAATTTGCATTAACTACTTAATGCTACTACTCTACTATCACTATTTCTACTGTATTTTGTTGATTCTGTATTGATGAATTAATGTGAATTTCAAATGGAATTGCATATGCTAGAAGTCAGATTTGAATAAAAAATTTTTACTTTTAAATGAAATGATTTTTAACAACTTTTAAAATTTGACAGTTTATAATCAGTTATGAAACACTGAAAAATGCTATATTCACTTGAGGATCACATGGCACACTCCATAAAGCAATAAAGCATGACGGGACTAAAAAGAAATTAGTAAATAAAGTAAAATACCTTGATGAGTCTTGGCTGAAATTTCTTGTCCATCTTCGGCACGGTCATGGCAGGACAGGAAGAGGATTCACACATTTTCATTATGACTTCTCTAGTTTGCAAATTACTTCCCCACGTCTCAGACATTCTACCACATTAGGAAGTGGAGTGACATAAATAAAATGTTGGTTTCCCGGCAGAGCTTTGGGATTAGATAATCTCACGAACAACACTTAGGTTGTTGGTTTATTTGGTTTCACAGTTCAGCAGAGAGCTGACAGAACCACCTGCAACAGAGAAATGCCTTTTTTTCTATTTGGTTGCCACACAACTAATGGAAACTCTTATATTTTATTTGAACAAAATATTTGTATACTTGTTTTACGTGAAGTCTTCTGTATTGTGTGTGGCTAAGAGACCTAACAAACCAGCCTCAGTTAGACTCTTTAACTGCCTGTCGGTGTGAATGTGTCCGTAGGTTTTAGAAAAACCTGTCCAAAGTGTATCACACCTCTCAATCAATGACAGCTGGGCGAGGATGCAGCCCACCCTGACACTGAAAAGGGGAAGTGGGTATAAACTGATGGGTGGATGTATACAGCATTGAAACATGTAATGAATTATCTTATGGCTTTTTCTTAACTAGTGACATTTGTTTTTATAATTATTTTCTGTGTTATGCTTTGGATTGTATTTTCTTTCATTGTGTTTTTACTGTAAAGCACTTTGTAACTTCAAAAGGTGCTATATCGATAGTTAAACTATTATTCAAATACTAGGTCTGTAACTAGTTCTCTCATCAGGGAAGGAACTAGATTGGTATGTTTTTTCTTCTTAGCAACAGGGCCTATAGCTAGTGATGTGATCTGTCTGCCCAGAACAAGATGCAGTATTTTAACTACTTTCCTTGACCACTAATTAGCTTACAAAAAGATATCTGGAGAACAAATAGCCAGATTGTTTGAAATGTGTTAATATAAATGTCCACCATAAATTGTTGTGGACATTTAGGGGGAATTTCTCAACCATCCATTTCTCAACATCAGTTTGATTAATAATAAATTTGTCATAGAGTAATACTCTGTGACTTTAGAAAAATAAAAAACCTCGGTGATGCCACCAGCATAGTATCTGTTTTTAACAGAAAGTCCCCAATTCAAATTTGAGGTTATAGTGTTTAAAAGACAGGACCTTTTACCAGCAGCCAAGACAAGACAGACATATAAAGATAGACACAAGTTAAATATTACATTAGGTAATTAAAGAAAGACTGACTTCAGTACAAAACCTTTTTTATTTTCTATGATCAAAACTGCAAAACATCTAGAAAAATATACAACAAATGCTTAACCTTTCACAACATTTAACATTTGAAAACGGGAACATAAAAGAAAAGGAATATTCACATTTTCCCCATTAATGATAAAAGAACATTCATTTTTATTTCCTTTCTTTTATATATCAATGTTTTTTATATGTTTGCAATTATAGTTATGGTCTGCCACTTTGTTTTTTGTTTTAAACATCTCCACAGTAGCCAGAGTCGTTGGAGAGCTGTGAGTTGGAGCTGCGGTTGGAGGAAGAGTTCCATATGTCCAGGTTCATGTGCGGGCCGAACGGGTTGAAGCTGCTGTACTGGATTGGTGCGCACCTCACCTCTGGCTCCCGGCTGAAGGGAGAATGAGGCGGGGTGATGGGGGACACGGGGGACATCGGGGCTGATCGCTCTGGTTGGAAGTGGCTCTGGGGCGTCCAGATGGATCCAAACAGACTGGACATGGGGGAGAGGCTACGGGTACCCGAGAAGTATGGCTGTGGAGGATGGAGAGAAAGAAATAATATTAGCTTTTGAACCACTTTTTTTATAACTATTCTAGCTGCTCTGTGGGCTCAGGAGTTACTGTCCAAAGCTGTTGTATCCCAGTTATACTTCCATCACATTTTCTAACCTTTCCTGCCGCTGTGCTCTGCTACCATCGACCATGTGGCTGCCTGTTCCCTGCAGCGATTGACCTGGCTGTCATTTCACAGCTTTTTAATCTCGTCTCTCCTTTTCAACGAAAACAAAATGACCTTCCTGCTCTAATCAAGATGGCAAGGTTTCTTCCCATCCTCAGCCAGAAGAGTGGTGTCTTAGTGAGTACTGTTTAAGAAGACTCATGCCATGAACCACAATATCGTCTTTTTGATTCTAGCTGGGGAGCTTTGTTGCACCCCCCTGCCCCTATATCTGTCTATTTCTGTCAGCCTCTCAAAAAAACAAACATTTATGCAACAATTTACTATACGCACCAATACTGTCTGATTATAATCTCATTAATACTTTCCTAGAGCATTTGAATAACATGAGAAAAACTGCATGCACCACTGTACACATGTGCGAAGCATCAAACAAAAGAAAAGTTTGTTAAAACCCACTTACAGTTTATTGAAACCAGACACTGTTGGTTCCTTATTTCTGCCCAGACACGGCGAGCAGTGATGAAAGCACAAGAGCTAATAACTTCCCCTAAAAGGTATGACTGTGTGTGTACTGTTGTTCAAAAAGACACAACCACAGAAAAAGAACACACCAAATATGGGTGTTAACGAGTGTGTCACAGGTGTTGTAGCAGGTCAATAAGGATCTTGACCATCTTGATGCCTAATCACAGGTTTCAGGCAGCAGCTTGCTTTCTAGTTGGCCTAGTTCATGTTCCAAAGTCTGTTTCTTTTCTGTAACTCTTGTAATGCAACAAAAAAAGTGCTACTGTGGTTACTTAAATTCTAACACTTTTAGTGTTTACAGTATAGCGTTAATAGCCCCAGTGGAACTTTTTGAACATTTAGTGTTTATATCATTATTATATCATCTTTTATGTGTAATTTCACTAAAAACTACTGCATAGTTTATTTTTTCATTTCAATAATTACACAAATTTAACCACATCCTGTATATCTATATTCTTGTGGTTAATTTATGTACCTGAAGTTGACCAATATTAGTGAAATCTGAATGACACAATATTTATTTTATTATCAAAACCTTACTGATAAGGTATGCCTGATTTTTTAAAAGAATTATAATTACAAATATAGGGATGGGATCGAGACCCGGTTCCAAAAGCACACGGTTCCAAAATTTCTCGAAACCCGAAATTCAATAAGGTTCGAGCTTCTCGATACTGCTATCGAGACTTGCAGGACCTCTGATGTAACATATATGTCTTGAGCGTCAATTCGGTTTATTTTGCAACGCAATGGATACGAAATCAACAAACAAAACTGGATCAGGCTCCAGTCTCTGCCTGATCTCTGTCAGAGCCTACATACGTTACGGTGAGGGTTAAGTTAGCCCCAAACTACTGTAACATTAGGTGATGACAGCTACGCTCGTTACTCTAAGTACGTGCAATAAAATCACTGCAAGTAAAAAGACAATACTTTATCAATACACCTGTCTGTACGGCAATGTTAAACATGTAAAAATGGTTAATTTTAATCATCTCTGTCCTCAGTATCTCATCCTGTATGTTTTATACAAGCACAGCTAACGCTAGCTTGGCATTAGCCAAATGTTAAAAACAAGCTAAACAGAAAGCTGTCTCTGTCTGGAGCACAGACTGGTCTGTAGTCTTAAAAACTCAGCTGCTGGCTGAGACAAACCAGCCGCTCCTCCTTCTACCTGGTAACGTTACCTGCAGCCAGCCAGAGAGGAGGAGGAGGGACTGATACAGACCGATGTCATCACTACTTCTGATGTCAGATAAAGTTATTGAGTTACTTTGCTTCTGTAAACATTAATGTTTAAGCTGTTCTAGAAACAACATTTAGCTGTATTTAAAATATTAAATTAAAAACAACCAGGCAGTTAAAATGTAGCCTACACTTCAATATATGTTTATTTATTGCAAGTGATATGTCATCTCAATATACGTTATCACACATTGAATATTTTCCTCATACCGTGCAGGCCTACCTCATGTCCGTTGGGTCTGGTCTTATCAAATAACCATCACTAAATAATAGTAAAGTATTGATAGTGGCATCGATAAAGAATCGGATTGTTAAGCAGTCTCAATAAGGGTATCAATATCAATAAAAATTAACGATCCCCATCCCTATACAGATATGAATATGATGGCCTGATCTTTATTTTACTTTATTAA